GCAAAAGTGTAAAATTATGGAACATGTAAAAAAACGGTTTTTTGTTTTTTTTTACAATAACTTTTTTTGTAAGCGGTACAGAAAAAATTCCTTCCTTGGTACAAGACTCGACACCATAACGAACCAAATAGCGAAAAAAGTAGAACAATAGCTTTTAAAATAAGAACTAGTAGCGTCGCAAAACGAGCGGACGGACGGACAAAGTGGCCACAATAGCGCATTTTTTTTATTTTTGTGGAAATGCGCTAAAAAGTGATAGTTTTAAAATTTTGGCTCGCTCGGCACAAACCTAGGCAAAGTAATGGTGTCAATTTGTCACTTTTTGAAAGTTTAATAGCATATCTGTATTAACTCCCAAGGGCAATTTCGGCACAAATCCGACCCTTACTTTGCCTAGGTTTGTGCCGAACTCATCATCGGCTCGCTGGGCACTGGTTTTAATGGTATCACTTTTGCGTGGAAATATATAATCACAGGCGTACTTCAATGTCGATCGGGCCGGAGGAACGAAGCATTAAAAGCAGTGCCGAGCGAGCCCAAGGCGAGTTTGGCACAAACCTAGGTAGACTTCTAACTTTTTAGGAAGTTTAATACTTGATCTCTATTAATGCCTATAGATGCAGGGACAATTTCGCCACAAATTAACTTACCAAACATCAGACCTATACTCTGCCTAGGCATACTCCTGACTCCCCACACACCCCTAGGGCATAAGGGCTCTTTCCTCGACTTTTCCCCCAAAAATCATTGTGTTAAGGACGAACAGTACCTAACCGGGGGGGGGTCCTGGGGGGTTGTATATAGACCCCCCCCCCGGGCGGAAGAAGACTGAGGTTAGAGAGGAAGGCATGGAATTGTAAGGAAACTGCAAAAATGAGAGGAGCGGACGGGGCAAGTGTGGACGTGGGGGAAAAAGAAAATGACAGCAGAAGCGTAGATGTTCAGGAGAGGGCAATAGAGAAGACAGAAGAAGGTAGCTAAGGGAACAAGAGACCACAACAGAAAACGGTTGATTGCAGGATAGGGAGAAAGAAGACAGTCGAGGCAGAAGAAGACAAGAAATGAAAACGAAAACCAAATAGATCCGTTAACAAAACTTAAAAAAGTGATAGTTTTAAAACCAGTGCCGAGCGAGCCGAAGCCGAGTTCGGCACAAACCTAGGCAGATGAATGATGTGATGGAGTAAGTCAAATGGTCACTTTTTGGAAGTTTAATATACCTACCTAAGTATTAATTCCCAAGAGCAAACTTTGTTTTGGGTTGAGCCGAACTCGCCTTCGGCTCGCTCGGCACTGGTTTTAATGTTATCACTTTTGCGTGGAAATATAATCACAGGCCTATTTTAATATCGATCCGTCCGGAGGAACGAAGCCCTTAAACGCAGTGCCGAGCGAGCCCAAAGCGAGTTCGGCACAAACCTAGGCAGACTAAAGGTCTGATGAGGTAAGTCAATTTTTCTAACTGTTTTGGAAGTTTAATAATTGATCTCTGTTAATGCCTATAGATGCAAGGACAATTTTGGGACAAGTTCACTTACCCAATATCAGACCTTTACTCTGTCTAGGCAGACTCCAGATTCCCCACACCCCCTAGGGCCTAAGAACTTTTTCTCGACTTTTTCAAAATTTATTGTGTTAAGGATGAACAGTACCTACCTAGGTGCCTACCTAACCGGGGGGGGGGGGGGTTTAAGGGCCCCCCCCTCCCCCGGCGAAAAAAAAACTGCGGTTAGAGAGGGAGGCGTGAAGAGAACTGCAAAAAATAACAGGAGCGGACCGAGTGTGGACATGGAGAACAAGAAATGCAGATGCAGATTTTCAGGAGAGGGCAACAGAGAGGGCACATGAAGGTACCTAAGGGAACAAGAGACAACAACAGAAAACGGAGGATGGCAGGAGAGGGAGAAAAAAGACAGTCGAGGAAGAAAGGGGCAAGAAATGAAAACTAAAACCGAATAGATCCTTTGCCAAAACTTGAAAAAGTTTGAAAACGTAGGAACAGTAATGGTGTGATGGAGTAAGTCAAATTGTCACTTTTTGGGAGTTTGATAGCCTTCGGCTCTCTCGGCACTGGTTTTAATGCTTTTGTGTGGAAATATAATCACAGGCTTATTTTGATATCGATCCGGCCGGAGGAACGAAAAAGAGATGGCTTTACAAGCAGTGCAAAGCGAGCCCAAGGCGAGTTTGGGACAAACCTAGGCAGACTAAAGGTCTCATGGGGTAAGTCAATTTTTCTAACTTTTTTGGAAGTTTAATAATTAATCTCTGTTAATGCCTATAGATGCAAGGACAATTTTGGGACAAGTTCACTTACCCAATATCAGACCTTTACTCTGTCTAGGCAGACTCCAGATTCCCCACACCCCCTAGGGCCTAAGAACTTTTTCTCGACTTTTTCAAAATTTATTGTGTTAAGGATGAACAGTACCTACCTAGGTGCCTACCTAACCGGGGGGGGGGGGGGATATTAGAGTCCCCCCTTCCCCCGCACACGTTGAATGATTAGTTCTAGGGAAGAAATCAATGTTATTTTGCGTACTGCAACGAGAACTGCACCATAGACTCCGTAATAACGTCGCCTGATTGGTCCACGCGGTTTGTCTAGTACCGTGCGAGCCCGACAGTTTAAGAACCGGTCGCAGGGCAGCGACTATTCGAAGAAGAAGCATCTGGATTTCAACGTCATGTCGTGTGCCCTTTCTCGAGCGCTGGAAAATGGGAAACCCGTCCGAAAGCGTCATGGATACCGACCACAAAAATACATAAACAAATGTAGATTCGTAGGCTTTTCGCAGCAATCGATCGGTGTCCCAATGCTTCGCCTGTCAGAGGTTCGGCCACTCTAGTTACAACTGTCGGTACCAGACTCTTGAACCAAGCGACTGGCAAAAACTATCGTATTATTGACCCAGACAGCCCTACAAACGTTTCCGATGAGCCTAATCAAGATCCGGATCACTAACAGAAAGAAAGCATCCGCCCCGGATAGATCGTCCAAGAAAAAGCGGACATTTTAGCGCGCGTTCTCGACGAAAACTGCATCCTACCATTTTGTCTGATGCAACAACAGTTCCGTATAGGTATCCACTCCCGCACAGTGTCACTTGACCGCCGAGTGCGTCAAGCCAATGGAGAAACAGTTTCCGCGTCTTCTTTCGAGGCGACTAGGAGCGGCCTCACAGCAGTCTAAGGGACGCATCCAAACCGCCGATACTCGCCCTGGTAGTACCCGCTGTAACGGACCTAGCGGTTACAGGTTACCCTTAGCCTCTTCGTAACCTAAGAACCTCTAAAACTTCCCTTCTACACCACCTCCTGTTCGTCAAGACAATCTCTATATGTTGGGTTGCCTACGTCCAGGAACACAGGACGCTGTTCTGGGTAGCTCTACATCGGAGATCCAGATAACTAAAGCTTGGTAGAACTGGGAAGAGCGCGGTATTACAACCGACACATCTACTTTAATTGAGGGAGAGGTAAACTTAATTAACAGCGCGGTTACCCTTAATTCACGGAAGGTAACCGGAGGGAGTGAGAGCGGTGTTACAACCGCCACTCCAGCCCATCAATAGAGGGACAGGTAACTTTTTGTCAGAGCGCTATCAACAATCGCTACTCTAACCAGGGAACAGGACTGTTGTACTTAGGATCAGGGCAAAGATTCTGGTTCGGTTTCTGTTTATATAGTATTTGGAAGGAAGTGGGAATGAAATGGTGATGGTAGCTATACTGGAGGGAAACTTCGAAACTGCTGCCTTCTCCTGATAGAAATTTAGATTAATTCCAGACCCCTACAGGAGTACAGGAGTTCCGAAAACTTCAAGAAGGAGCCAAGACCGCCATCCACGACTTCAGGAACGAGTCCTGGGAAAGCCGCCTGCGAACCTTGAGCGAGAAGAATTACTCCCTCTGGAATATGGCAAGGGTGCTACCCTGCTACCTACCGAGATCGTTCGGAGGACCGGTGTGTATGGACGCCGAGAATGTCGACGCCTTCGCGTCTGTTTTCTCCCGACCTCGAAAACGCCGACGCCGGAGGGCCTGAAGATCCATAGTGTAACGGAAACGCTCCAGACATGACGTCGCCTTTGGCGCTCTGGAATTTTCTACGCGCGCGATAGTGGGATTTGTGTAGGAATATTCGAGAATGTACGCGGATGTTCTGGACTTACATTGCTTGCGTGTATAAATGGTTGCGGACCGAACATCGCGGCAGTTTTTACTACCGAACGAGATCGAGCGCGGAAATATAAATTGCGAAGTGTGTGATAAATAATCGATATAAATTGTACGGTTTTTATAGTGTTTTAGTTTTGTTTAATAAATATTGATATAAATCGAACCCGAATTTATAAATCACGTTACAATACGAAAATACGACGAGGAATCGCCATGACCGAGGAAGAAGTCTCTGACGACGGGCGGCATCGGGAACAGGGCGTTCGAAGGGCTCTCTCAACATTCGGTAAGTGTTCTCGCTTTCATTCTGAACGCAGCTTAAGACTGTGGCACTCTCTATTTCGGTGGAAACGTGCCCACGTAATCATGTTACAGAAACCGGGCCAATCCACGACGTTCCACAAAACTACCACCTGATTAGTCCGCTGTTGACGATCGCCGCGGTGATCCTGAGGAGGCTGCAGGATCAAACGGCGGAGAGACGCGTCATTCGACGGTCAAGAATGATGTAGAACCCCCGACAGAAGGCTTCAACGGCAACAAGTTTACGAGACCTGACCTTTTGGAAGTTTCTGGCACAACGGACTGCTGTAGAAGATGCTGGAATCCGGTCTAGCCACGGTTCAGATTGTTGCATCATATCTGAAAAACAGACGCCGCCGAGGTCGCGCGAGCGCAAAGTAACGGCCGGAGTACCCCAGGGATCTCTGCTCTCTCCGTTGCTGTTACCTTGGCTCTATACGCGGACGTCGTCGCCATCCAAGCAAGATCGTTGCAACCATCGGCCGTCTCTAGGAGACCCCAGACGACCTAGAAGGATGGTACACCAGGTGGAGGATCGCCACCAACGCCGAAAAGAGCTCGGCCCTCGAGATCTGAACATGCCCACCATCAAGGAATTCAACACCGCCGCGACGGTGAAGACCTTCGACACCAGAACGAGGTAAGTGAACTGGACACCTTCGAAGAGGACCGACCCCTGAAACACAAACGTCCCAAGAGTGTATGTCATATCTCCAAGCACATGAACCTAGGCAGAGTAAAGGTCTGATCTGGTCAATCTGTCCCGTTTGTGGAAGTTTAATAGCAGATAGGTATTAATGCCATGCGGTTCAGGAGCAATTTCGGAACTCGTTGACTTACTCCGTCAGATCTTTACTCTGCCTAGGTTTCCAGTCACGTTTCAGTAGCAATGATTTTCGCTTTAGAAATTTGGATTACGTAATCGTACCATGTCTCGGGCATCAGGCAGCCAGTATTAGCCATCGGGCCCAGAGGATCCAAGTTAGTTGGTACCTAGACATCGTGCTCTTGATTCGATGAGCGTAGCCTAGGCTGTAGGCGTCAGAATTTTGTATGGTTTAGATCTCCGGTAAGGTACGCATATTGAGCGATTTCAACAAAGGAATAGGCTCTCAAACGTGTTACGCCATTACAAGACTGAGAACCTCATTAAAATGAATTATATGCGAGAATTAACGTTTGTTGTATTTTATCTTGCGGCACGCCTGACTGCGCTAATGTTTTACCTGACGTAATCGACATTTTTCATCTCCGCTCCTAAAAAACAGGTCAGACATCGAAATGTTCTTTGAACACGTGCTAACAGTGTTACTATCTTGCCTTTTTGCGCTTGGGGCAGAACAAGATGACAAAAACGAGACAATCAGGTACTATGCCAAGCTGATTCGTGAGGAAACCTCGAAGGCGTACAAAAAGCCTTGGCCGCAAGACTCCTATAAATACGCACCAAAGGAAAAGGGCACTATAAGTATGGCATAAAGGAAAAGAGGGTGCTTAACTTATTTCGTAGATTATGGAACCTTCGACCACATTATTGTAGGGGCGGGATCCGCTGGGGCGGTGATCGCGAGTCGACTCTCAGAAGACGCCTCCCGAAACGTTCTCGTGTTGGATGCCGGTGGTTACTCAAACAATTTCTCAGATATTCCCGGCATGTTACCTTACTTAACCGGGCTGGAGGAGTACAATTGGGGTTACCTAAGCGTGCCTCAGAACACATCGTGTCTAGGTGCCCCCCTCCCCACATTTTCTACTAAAGCATACTAATATCTCGTCTCGTAGGGATGAAGAACAACCAGTGCACCATGACCCGAGGAAAAGGAATCGGAGGAAGCAGCATGATCAACGGACTGCTTTACGTTAGAGGCAACCGGGTGGATTACGACAACTGGTATAGGGAGGGGAACGACGGGTGGTCATACCGCGACGTTCTGCCTTATTTCAAGAAATCTGAAGATTTTCCGGAAGGTGACCCCAAGTATCACGGAAAATCCGGCAGTTTGAGGGTTGAGGTGCCAAGACCGGCCAGTCCGCAAATCGACGCGTTTCTTGAAGCGAATAAGTACTTGGGACGAAAAGATCTCGATTACAATGGGGAAGAGCAGCTCGGCTACGGAAGGGTTCAGCTGAATGTCGACCATGGAAAAAGAGCGAGTAGTGGCTACGCCTTTTTGTTGCCGGTCAAAAACAGGACAAACCTGAAGATACTGACGCACAGTTACGCCACCAAGATTGAAATTGATGAACGAAAGCGAGCCGTTGGGGTGCGGTTTACTAAAGATGGCCGAACGTACGTGGCAAAATCGCGTCAGGATGTCGTGATATCAGCCGGAGCGTTTGGTTCACCTCAATTGCTAATGCTGTCTGGTATTGGACCCAGAGAACAACTGCGGCGCTTAGGAATAGACGTTATAGAAGACCTACCCGTGGGCGAACAACTCTTAGACCACATCTCCTTTTTCAACTTGAACTTCGCAACAAACTACACCAAGCACCGCTCCAGTTTGGAGCACAATATCGAAGACTACCTCAACGGCACGGGCGTGCTTGTCAACCCGTTCCACTTAGAAACGCTAGTATTTATGCAAACGAAGTACGCCAAAACACCAGGAGTGCCCGATTTTGAGGCCCTAATGATACCATCCATTAGTTCCAACGAGATGACCTCCAAGTTTTGGAACATACGAGATGAACTTGAAGCAAAAGATAACCACCCGGAAAGCGACTTTTCAATATGCGGCATCCTCCTACACCCTAAATCGCGCGGATATCTCCGACTGAAATCGAGAAACCCCTTCGACTACCCCATCATCAACCCCAATTGGCTATCCGACCCCGAAGACCAAGACATCGACGTGCTTTACGAGGGGATCAAGATGATTCTGGAAATGGTCGATACCCCTCCATTTCGAAACCTGGGCACGAGGCTGAAGTACGACAATTTGCCCGCGTGTAAAAGCTTTCAGTACCTGTCCAGAGGCTACTGGCACTGTTTTATTAGGCACTTCGGCACGGCAATCTTTCATCCCATTGGGACGTGTGAGATGGGCACGCATCCGTCGAGAGGGGCGGTCGTCAGTCCGGACCTGAAGGTTTTTGGCGTTTCGAATTTGCGCGTCGCCGACACCAGCGTGTTTCCTTTGACTACGTCGGGTCACACAAACGCGCCTGCGATGATGGTGGGCGAAAAGGCTGCAGATTTGATAAAGCATGAGTGAATGTGTCCAAAATGGTGTGTATCTACTATTTACCCTGAATAAGGCTGTAAAATACAGAATTTCAATAAAGTTTTTAACTAGGGGAAGAATATAGAACCGAAGGGTCTGGGGGGGCATAGAATACCACCCAGCACGCGACGCTATTTTAATGGTTCTATGGAAGAATGCAATGTTCATTTTCCTACAATAATCACAAGGTCTTCGTATACTGGGGGGTTTGGCATATCCCCAGACCCAGAAGAATTTAGAACGAGGGCGTCTGGGAGGTATGGAATACTCCCCAGCACGCGACGCTATTTTAATGGTTCTAGGGATGAATGCAATGTCCATTTCCCTACAATTATCGTAAGGTCTTCTTTTACTGGGGGAGTATGGCATACCCCCAGACCCAGAAAAATGTAGAACGAGGGTGTCTGGGGGGGTGGGGGGTTATGGAATACTACCCATCACGAGATGCTATTTAAATGTTTCTTGAGAAGCGCATGCAATGTTCATTTCCCTACAATTGTCATTGCTGGGAGGTTCCCCCCGGTTCTCAATTTTTCCCTAAAATGCTAAGTGTCCCCTAAAAGCTTCCCTATCATAAGGTCTCTGCATACGGGGGGGTATGGCTCCGGTTCAGAATTCTTACCCAAACCGTTAACTACCCCTAGCACCTACGCTATAATTTTTGGAAAAGGACTAGCGAATGTAATCCTAGGAGCCTGTGGAGTAAAGACCACACGTCAGGAAGGGAAGATTTACCAGTTTTTTATGAGAAACTGTCACAAAGTGGGAGGAGTAGTGAACATTTTTAGGTAACGTATCACCGGCGGGTCGGACGGAGGGGGGGGGGGTTATGGAAAACCCCCCAGTATACGACTTTCTTATGATAATTGTTGAGAAAAAATTTAATTCTTTCCTAAAACTACCATAATATCGCATCGTGTGCTGGGGAGTATTCCATATCCCCCCCTCCTCCTCCGGCTGTACGTTTTCCCTTAACACGTTCACTCCTAACAAGGTTTGTGATAGTCTATAAAGGACCGGCCAATCTTCCACTCCTGAGTATTCCTTACCCCACAGGCTTCTGGTGCTACCCTCTTTCTTTCGAAAAGTTATAGCGTTAGGTGCTAAGGACAACATTTTGGAGGAGAATGTGGAACCGGAGGGTCTGAGGAGGGGGGGGAGGTATACAACCCCCAGCACGCAATAATACTATGATAATACGGTTAGAGAAGAATGCAATGCTCATTTCCCTACAGTTGTTATCATAAGGGTATTCGTATTCCATACCCCACAGACCACTCGGTTCCCAAGTCTTCCCTAAAATGATAGAGCCTCCTAAGAGCTGAGTAGAGCGGTTACGTCTGTTGTGTGTTTCTGTATCGCGAGCGTAATTCCTGGAGCTGAAGAATCCGTTTCATTCATGACACATTTCACCATTTTTGGGGATGAAAGATTTAGAAAAGCAAGTAGGAACGCGTCAGGAATCGGATCGCGTCCTTCAAGGATTGTGGTTAGTTAATTTTTGAGTTGTGCGAACCGTAAAGTGGAGACCTTCTCGAAGAAAGCGACCTAATTTTTTAAGTTCAATATTAAATAACGGAATTCTTCTAACTGAGTTTAATATGTAAATTATAAAATCAGTGTTAAAGTGTCAGGTGTCAGGACCCAGATTTATTAAGTGTCAGGCCTTTGGTTGTTTAGGTTCAATTCAAGTCGCGATCTTAGGGTTCCGCTTACATAACACATTCTGGTTTAGGGGTTTATAATTTCTTATGAGTTAATGGGTTTCAAGGAACACGTGATAATTTAAATGCGCAAATGAATAACCTTAGAGAGTTAATTACCAATTCAATAATTGACTTATGCAAAGTATGTCATTAGATTCAGTAATGAAATTCCAATTCGCTTCTGGAAAGTAACCGACGTTATACCACACCGTTTTTGTATCGGAGATCCTTGGAATATGAAATTACTTGAGAACGCTCTAGGAGCGTTACTATGTTCCTTCCTTGTGCTATCGGTGGAACAAGACGACAAAAATGGAACGATCAGAAATTTGGCCAAGATAATACGCGAGGAAGCTTCGAAGGCGTACAAGCGTGCTTTGCCCAAAGATGCTTTTCAGTACGCACCAAAGGAGGAGGGCACTGCAGGTATGTAGCCTAATTTAAACGACATAGTGTTCTTCAGTTCTTCCACAGACTATGGAACTTTCGACCACATTATCGTAGGGGCGGGATCTGCAGGGGCGGTGATCGCGAGTAGACTCTCAGAAGATGCTTCCCGAAACGTTCTCGTGTTAGAAGCAGGTGGTTACTCAAACAATTTCTCCGATGTTCCCGCAATGCTGGCTTACTTAAACGGACTGGGGGAGTACAACTGGGGTTACCTCAGCGTGCCTCAGAACACATCGTGCCTAGGTAATATTATCTCCGACCACTTCCTTATTAACTAAAAATGTATCGTGTTAGCATTGAAAAACCACCAGTGCATCATGTACCGCGGAAAGGGGGTCGGAGGAAGTAGCATGATCAACGCACTACTATACGTCAGGGGCAACCAAATGGACTATGACAATTGGTATGGGGAGGGGAACGATGGGTGGTCATACCGAGACGTTCTGCCTTATTTCAAAAAGTCCGAAGATTTTCCAGAAGGCGACCTCAAGTACCATGGCAAATCTGGGAATTTGAAGGTCGAAGTTCCAAGACCAGAGAGTCCGCAAATTGACGCGTTTCTTGAAGCGAATAAGTACTTAGGACGAAAAGAGCTGGACTACAATGGAGAGGAACAGCTTGGCTACGCAAGAACTCAGTTGAATATCGATCATGGTAAAAGAGCGAGTAGCGGCTACGCCTTTTTGTGTCCGGCCAAAAATAGGACAAACCTGAAGATACTGACGCAGAGTTACGCCACCAAGATTGAAATTGATGAACGAAAGCGAGCCGTTGGGGTGCGGTTTACTAAAGATGGCCACACGTACCTGGCAAAATCGCGTCAGGATATAGTGATATCTGCTGGAGCATTTGGTTCACCTCAATTGCTAATGCTGTCTGGTATTGGACCCAGAGAACAACTGCAGCGCTTAGGAATAGACGTTATACAAGACCTACCCGTAGGAGAACAACTCTTAGACCACACCTCCTTTTTCAACTTGAACTTCGCAACTAACCACTCAGAGCAGGTCAACAGCTTAGAAAAGAACGTTGGGGATTACTTGAACGGAACCGGTGTGTTAATTAACCCTTTCAACTTGCCAACGGTCGTATTTATGCAGACGAAAAACGCCAAAACGCCCGGAGTACCAGACTTTGAGGCTTTAATGATCCCCTCCATAAGCTCCAGTGAGGTGACTGCCAAGTTTTGGAACATCCGAGAGGAGCTCATAGCGAGAAATGGAAACCCACAGAGCGAATTCTCCATGCTCGGCGTACTCCTACACCCCAAATCGCGCGGATATCTCCGACTGAAATCGCAAAACCCCTTCGACTACCCTATCATCAACCCCAACTGGCTATCTGACCCCAAAGACGAAGATATCGACGTGCTTTACGAGGGCATCAAGATGATTCTAGAAATGGTCGACACCCCTCCCTTTCAAAAACTCAACACTCGGTTGAAGCACGAGCCCCTGTCGACGTGTAAAAGCTACCAGTACCTGTCCAGAGAGTACTGGCACTGTTTTATTAGGCACTTCAGCACGGCAATCTTTCATCCCATTGCGACGTGTAAAATGGGCACGCACCCGTCGCGAGGGGCGGTCGTCAGCCCGGAGCTGAAGGTTTTTGGTGTTTCAAATTTGCGCGTTGCCGACACCAGCGTTTTCCCTTTGACTACATCGGGTCACACAAATGCGCCTGCGATGATGGCGGGCGAAAAGGCTGCAGATTTGATAAAGCATCAGTGAATCTGTCCAAATTAAGCGTGTAAAGGTTCTGGTTTCAACGGCTAACCTCTTTTTGTATTAAAGGATCGACTTGAAATTTTTAATTTGGCCCTATCAGTTTGGAGATTTCCTTGCTTGAAGTTTGAACAAAGTAACTTTAAAAGACAAACTGATTTTTTCAATCAAATCCGATTCTAATGGGCTCATAAATTGTAAAAACACATGCAATACAAACCACTTCAAAATTACCTAGGAGTTAATGTCTTTAAGAAACCATAGTTCCTTCGATAAGCAACCTTTAATTTTACATAGATAGAATAACGGTACCTCATACAAAACTATCATGCGGGTGACGATGTTGATACAAAGAGTGGTTTCGAGACAGTTCTCCTTACGACACTGATGCGGAGAGTTAAATAATAGAGCTTTACATCTTCACTAAGTAACAATTTTACACCGTGTCTCTTATTACCGTATGTTGAACCGTGGCGATTATAACAATTTTATGGTTACGAATTCCGATGCCAAAGTCCAATCCCCTTTTTTTATGCTGGCACGCTTAATTAATTTGTCCTTAACTGCGCACATACGGTTCACTGACGTATAACAAAAACTACCGCTAATTTCACCAAGTACTTACGGAATCATACAATTTAGTGGAAATACGACTTTCACATTTATACACCCTGTAGATTTTGTATGATACGCAATGTCTAAACTTTAAAACAATTCCCAAAAATCCCAACTGTACCTAACCCTATAAAATTGGAAACAATAAATCCAAATACCGTTACAATACGTTTTGGGTTTTAGATTTAAAGATTTGAGCCTGGCCCTTTTCACTTTAGTGACAAATCACGGAAGCTAAAACCAGTCTCAAACTTAGGAAAAAATTTTATCGTTGGGAGTCATAGAGAAATATCGTACATTCCGCGCCACTTTCAAATTTCGGCAGAGATCGGATCGGACTGGGTGAATAGAAATCGTCTGAAACACCCCCAGTCCCCCGGTATACGAATATCTGGGGGGTATGGAATACCTCCCAGTACCTCGGAATACGAATATCCATATCCATACCTCCCAGGCTCCCCGGTTCTATACTTTTCGCTAAATCGTTTAGGGCCCGTAGCACTTGCATCTTAATTTTTGATAAAAGAGCTTAGGGCTGAACGTTTTTGTATGTGAACGTAGCACCGGGGGGGGGGGTCTAGGGGGTATGGAATACCCCCCAGTACAGTAACCAGTATTCCGGTATCCGGTATACGAATATCCATATCCATACCTCCCAGTCTCCCCGGTTTTACATTCTTCTCTAAAACGTCTAGGACCCTTAGCACTTGCGCCTCAATATTTGATAAGAGGCCTTAGGGCTTAACGTTTTTCTACGTGAACGTGGCACCAGGGTGTCTGGGGGTATGGAATACCGCCCAGTACTCCGGTATACGAACATTTTTTGCTAAAACGTTTAGGGCCCGTAGCACTTGCATCTCAATTTCTGACAAGAGACCTTAGAGCTGAATTTTTTTGTACGTGAACGTAGCACCGGAGAGTCTGGGGGGTATGGAAACCCCCTAGTATACGAATATTTATATCCATACCTCCCAGACCCATCGGTTCTGCATTCTTCGCTAAAACGTTTAGGGCCCTTAACACTAGCACTTCAATTTTTGGCAAGAGGCCTTAGAGCTGAACGTTTTGTGGGTGAACCGTGAACGTAGCACCGGAGGGGGGGGGCTGTTGGGTATTCCTAAGGGTAGGTAAGGAACATCTCACAGTATACGAATATTCTATGACAATATTGTACTGCAATGGAAGATTGATTCTGACTTCATCCTGGGGAGTATTCCATGCACCTCCACCCCCCCCCCCCCGGTTCTACTTTCTTCCCTAAAACATTTACATTCCATACCCCCTGTTCTACATTCTTCGCTAAAACAATTAGGGCCCTTAATACTTGCACCAGAGAAAAATACACAAATCGCAGAATAAACAAGAATAAACAACTCATGGGCATTTTTAAAAACTGAAATAGCTTAGTAAATGGCTGTGTGATAAGGTAGTAGCATGCTATATATTACCGATGTTTCCTTTCTTTCTTCAGATATAAGGAATTATTTATATTCAATCACGATAAGGAGCCGAGGAAGAGGCTATGGTTGGTAGAAATTAATTCCTTTCGTTGAGCCCTTTCATTAGAGTACCATGAAACATAAAATCAGCCCCCCCCCCCATCTCTCTTTTGATAAGGAGGGAGAAAGTGGCAGTTGACGGAAAACAGTTCCTTTCGTTGAGACCTTTAATTGGAATGGCTACCATGGATGAAAATTAATTTCAACCCCCTCCCACCTCCCCCCTGGCCTCCCACTGATCTCGGAAAGGAGTCGCGCAGGAAAGTTGTAGTTTGTACAAACCAATTCATTTCTGTCAGACCTTTCATTAGAATGCCATGAAGAGTAGAACGTGATGCCCCCCCCCCCCCCTTTACCTATAGGCAAAATCTCTAGGACCATTCGCATAGAAGTAGTTCAAAACGGTAGAAATGCGTCGGGAGGGACGGACGGACAAAACGAAAACAATAGCACATTTTTTTTAATTCTTAAAAAAGGCGCTAAAAATATGTCTCCCATTGACCGGAAATCTTTTTTGCAGGTCTTGGTCTTTACCGCTGAAAAAATTATAGATGAACAACTTTAAGAGACGTGGCACCCTTGCAACTTTTTCAAAACCTTGGAAACCCATAGAACCTCTTAATGGGCCTCTACATTTTTTTAACTTCGAATTTTGCGTTCCTCTGGAGACAGGAAGCTTTTGGTTGCTTCAAGAATTTTTTTACCTTTCCGAAACATTTCCTTTTTGAATTTTTACTTGCTCTTTTAAATTTGTTGAATTTTTTCTTCACTGAAGAATCTGTACTTATAATATCAAGAGAGTGGGAATTTAAAGAACCCGACGAAAGAATTGAAAAAATTCAAAGGAGCAAAGGGAAAATAAGCGGAACAATCAGACGAAATGGCCGAATTTGAAGACTGCGGGTAGTTTTGGAAAAGTGCGATCAAAAAAAATTGGAAACAGGTATCCGAAAATCGAATCCCATGTGAAGGATCCATCCGAGAAATTGGAGGAATAGGAAACATTGGACTAGCGGCTTTTTTTAATTATGCAAAAACCTTTGGAAGATTTTGCCACCCCCTATAAACAGGGAGATCTCGGCGAAATCCAGTTCGTCCCTGATCGTTTTTCGACTTGGAAAAACCGTCTCTCTCAAACGCGATTAGAAAGCAAGTCAACTTCGGCAATTTGTAGATAAGAAACCGAAAAGGCGAGATCGTTGGCCTTGCAGGTGTGTCGTTATAGCCGAATGAGTCAGTTTCATTTCAAAAGCGGGCGCGATAATAGTGTCTTTTGTGTAAAATTTATCAAACGTAGTCAATGGGGTAAGTTTATGAATAATTAATTTAGGTGTAGGTGTACCCAAAATTGGGGGGGGGGGGTTAGAATTCAGTAAAACGTCCCATTTTGGGATCAATTCAGCATTTTGATTTACGTTGAAAACCCTTTAGCTCTGTATAGGCGTTTCTAATTTGTGCTTTTTTTTTCAGAAATTGTACCAAGGGCAGCTAAACAATCGAGGTAAGCGATTTTTTCTTTTACGTAAGTGCCATATTGGGTACATTGTTAAGGTGACGTTGCTATAGTGACTAATGCGAAGCGTATTTGTGAAAAACTTGTTCCGATAAAAGCATCGAATGCTTTTCTAAGCAAAGAACGTAAACCCAAAATCCGAATTTTTAATATTTTTCGACGTCGTTTTAACGAAATTTGAAAAGAATTGGACCGTTCAATTATCAAAATTGTTATCTCAAAGAGTACTTGAGACCGAAACATCTACATTTTTTTATCTTTCACCTGCAGCTTGCAGTTGAAAATTATCTCACGCGTTTTTTTATCGTTTAATTTATCGCAATTAATTTGTATTAGAACACAAAGAATGTGGTTGTAAATGAAAATTAATCCATAAACAAAACCATTAACATTTTTGTCCAAAAGAACAATTGGTATTAGCACATTAGATACGTGAGGCGATTATTTTCAACAATTAATTATTTCCTAAATATCTCCTCCTTGTATTTTGATCCTGATACAAGGAGTTTTGAAATCATTCGGGAAACGTAGTGCGTCTGGAAGTTATTGCACTATTTTCCCCCTTTTGCGCCCTTTGTGATCTAATTAAAGTTTCTTTGGGCTGCTTTGCTCATACTAAAACAATTGTTAAGAGACCGCAACACAACATAAAGTAGCACCGGGGGGCCTGGGGGGTTTAGAACACTCAAGGAAAATTCTGAGAGAGCGTCGAATTATTCTTTCTCTCTCTTTTTTTTACCAAAACTTAGACTTAGACACCGAACACAACAGAATGTAGTATCGGGGGGTCCAAGAAAAAAACCCATCTAATTAGTTCCCTATTCGGGGAATATTCCACCTCCCCCCCGCCCCCCAAGATCCCTCGGTGTTACGTTTTCCTCCAAATATTTATAGAGACTGCAACACAACATAATAACTAGCACCGGGGGGCCTGAAGGGTGGAAAAATCCCTTATTTTGAAGAGACGCCATCGAATTACCTAGTTTTCTCTCTTCAGGAGGGTATTAGACACCACAGATTGAAGTACCGAGGAGTCTGGAGGGTATGCCATATACACCCCAGTACTATTTTTCCCCGAACTGGCGCATCAAATTACTCTCCTGTCTTCTGGGTGCTATTGGCCCCCAATTACCCAAGGTAAATGGAATATCCTCCAGAGAAAACCCTTTATTTTTAAGACTTAAGATTTTTCTGGGGGGGTTCCACACCCTCTGCGCCACCTTTTCCTCCAAAATATTTAGAGACCGCTACACACAACAGAGTTGTGGGGGGAATAGGGTACGCCCCCCCCCCCCGGACAGTAATTCGATGCCCTATTTTAAAAAAAAACACTTCCATAGGGATTCTATGCCCCCCAGACCCCCTCGGTAAACATTTTCTTCTAAAATATTTAGAGACCACAACAGAACAGAAAGTGGTAACGGAAGGTCTGAAATACCCCCCAGGAAAAAAACCTTTCCTTTAAGAGCAGGCATCGAATTACTCTTCTCTCTTATAGGGGAATTCCATACCCCCCCTCAGACCTTCCGGTACTATCTTTTCCTCCAAAGCACTGATACGATAACACAACAGGGGGTCAGGAAAAACAATCAAATTCTCTCTTTTGGGGGGTGTTCCAAACCCATCACAACAGAAACTAGTACCGTGGGGTCTGAGGGCAAAAAACCACTTATTTGTAAAAGAGAGGGCATCGAATTACTCGTCCCTCGCCCCTTCTACTCAAAAAAATTTAGAGACCGCAATACACAATAGAATGTAGGTACTGGGCGGTGTGGATTACTCCCCAAAATAACCCCTTTTTTAAATTGAGAGCAACGAATTACTCTTCTCTCTTATGGGGGGTATTGATGCATAAGTACAACTACGACTACAATTAAAACTCAACAATTATGCGCCTCTTTATAATAAATTCCACCAGATTTCCTAATTACTTTTTAGAGGAATTTAATACAGGGCGTCTCGCATGTTATTCCCATATCTTAAAAAAATTACGTTACTTGGTAGGTAGTAGGTACTACTTTTCAGAAAGTAGTACCGTAGAGTCTGAGGGGTACCCCCCTAGGGAAAAACCATTTATTTTTATGAGAGGGCGTCGAATTACTCTTCTTGCTTCTGAGGGATATTCCATACCCCCAGACCCCGGTCCCTTTTCCTCCAAAATATTTAGAAACCGCGGCACAACAGAATGTAGTATCGAGGGGGTCTCAAGGGGAAAACCCATTACTTAAGGGAGGGCATAGAAATATTCTTCTCTAATCTGGGTGCTATTCCATACCTCCCAGACCCCTAGGTACTACATCTTTTTCTACAAAATATTCAGAGACCGCAACAAAACGGAAACTATAGTACCAGGGGTCTGAGGGGGTATAGATTACCTAATTTAATGTTCATTTTTCTATAACGATCATAACGATCTTCGTTTACTGGGTTATAAGAGAGGGCATCGAATTGCTTCTCTCTCTTCTGAGGGACATTCCATACCCCCCAGGTACTAGTCCGGGTCCAAAGGAAAAAAAACAATTTTTTAAGAAAGAGTATTCCTCTTATGGGGAGTATTCCATACCCCTCGGGTATAACTTTTCCTCCAAAATATTGAGAGACCGCAACACATCAGAAACCAGTACCCGGGGGGTCTAAGGGGTATGGAATATCCTCCAGGAAAAAAAACCCGTATTTGTAAGGGGGGGGGGGTGTCTGAGTAAAAACCGGGAGGTGTGTGGGAGGGGGGGGGGAATACTCCCCAGGCATCGAATTACTCTTCCTTGTTCTGGGTATTCCGTACCTATCTCTCAGGTACTAATTTTCCTCCAAAATATTAAGAACCCAACACAATAGAAAGTAGTACCGGGGGTCTCTTTGGGTTATGGAATACTCCCCAGGAAAAAAACCTTTTTTTAAAGAAAGGGCATTGAATTACTCGCCGCTCTACCCTGCCTTACTCCCAAAAAAAAAACCTTTCTTAAAGTGAGAGCGAATTAGGTACTTCTTAATTACCCTTCTCTCTTATGGGGGGGTACTCCATATACCCCTTAGGTACTATACTTTTCCTCCAAAATATTGAGAGACCGTAATAACACAGCAGAAACCAGTACCGGCGTTTTGAGGGGTATGAAATAGTCTCCAGAGAAACCCCTTTTATTAAGAAAGTGCATCGAATACTCTTCTCTCTTCTGGGGAGTATTCCATGCCCAAAGGTACTACCTTTTTTCCTTTAAAATATTTAGACCGAAACACAACTCAAAGTGGTAACGGGGGTTATGGAATACCCCCTAGGAAAAACACTTTTTTAAGAAAGGGCATCGAATTACACTTTCCTCTTCTGAGGGGTCTCCTGTACCACTCAGATACTAGGTACTTTTCCTCCAAAATATTAAATGACCGCAACACAACTGAAAGTATAGACAGTACCGACGAGTCTGAGGGTTATGGAATAACCCCCAGGAGAAACTCCGATCAACAAAACCTGGGTTACTTTAAAAAATGACAAATTAAGAATTTCAAATTTTACAAAGAAGAAAAAACAAAGCGTTTAAGCAAAACCAAGTTCTGTACTGTACCTCTTAGACCATATAGTACTATATATATATATATGGTCTAAGACTGTACCTACATAGCCTGTTTTCCCTAATTCTTATTGAAAATCTTTTTTATTTTTTAAAACAAATGTACGCGCGAGAGGGATGCACAGATATCACTGTACTCGCGTAACCTTTAGGAGAAAGATGAGAGGTTGATAAAAATACGTGTTAACGCGTCTTTAGATGGCTGAATACTAACGGGAAAGGAAAGTTTTTCTTTTAAAGTGCAATTTCTACTGAACAGAACCATGTGTTTTGCTTAAACGCTTTGATTTTGCTTTTTAAAATTTTAAATGCACGATTTATCATGTTGTAAAAATAGTCAAATTAATTTAATTAAATTGGCGAAACTGCAAAATAATGGACCAATCAGGGCGCGAGTTCACCAATTATCTTCGTCAATTAAATACGCATAGTAAAACCACCAATAAATCCGTTAATTTTATTTAATTGAAACCTCACGATTTTACAGGTTCTAAAGAAATAACAGGAATCATCGATCAGTTTTTAATTAATTTAAATTAATCATTATTGTCTATCGACCGTATATGTCTTTTGAGATAGCCTGAACTGTACAAAAAAACTCAAAAACTGTTTTTTAAGCCATCCCGGTTGACAGTTGAGTCAAGCACATGACCAGGGTTTTCTTTCCCAGGGCACTATAAAACAAGGTCACTCCTTAGTTACGAGATCGGAAAATCCCCTCGGCCACGAGCAACTGACAGGTGAGGGAGGTCCCTTACCAAGCGGCAATGGTGTTCCGCCTCTAGGTACTCATGGCACAATATTAATGGTCTGTTACCCTGGTGTCAATATAATAATGAAACACGCATTTTTGAAAAGAGCGGCAAACTTATGTTCATTCTATCCATCGTATAATAAAAAAGTCTATCACACTTCTCCTAGTGGACTGTAAGGTATCAATTTTTTTTACGAAAATCACGGTCCAACGCATTTTTTTCAAACGCGGGGCAAAAAGTACGGAATTTCTTTGATTATTTTACATTGTGGCGTCATCGCCTCAAGCAGATTGTGTGCAAATACGAGTATGAATTAAATAGTTTATTGAAGATACACTTACCAGCCTAATAGCATAACAAATCATACATAGTTATCGTGAAGTTTATTATAATATAATACATTATGAACAGTTGCACCAAGCCAAGTTTATTAAAAAAAATAAATTACACGAACTAATTAACTAAAACAGCAGATCGTCCTAGTCTTCAAAACATACATCTACGAAAGGTAAATGAAACACAAATACAACAGATTATAGTGTTCGCTAACACAAAACATGCAATAAACTGTCACAATCTTGGCAAGTGCGTAACTAACCATTACCAAAACAAAGAAACTAAAAAAAGGAAATGCAAATGAAATGGAACTGTATAACGTACATATATTGTATAATGATATTCTTCCTTTAAATCTCAACTACTGTAATATTTTTTTTGAAATTACCACATATTGCAATCTTAAGTAAGGATGCCCCCCCTCCCCCTCCCCAAGTTGCGCTGATGCGAATATGATTTGTGTGTTTTTCAACTGAGTAGCTTCGATCCCTGTTCTCACGACGCGTGCATCAATTTAAAACTATACAATACGAAAATACGAAATTTTCACTCACACACACACATCACAGTCGTCAATTAGCCAATGAAGGGTTTGAAATAAAAAAAAAAAGGTCCGAAAAAACATAACCTACTCGGCGGGTCGCTGTCCTATTTTATTTCGATCAAACAAAGTAAAAGAAACCGAGACAGGAGGAAAAGAAAATTAATATACAATAGTGGAAAGATCAGAAGCCACTGTATTTGTCTGTACACGTAACAATTAAACTGTAGGTGTTCAAAGTATGAATTTCCCCATGATGATGCCGAAAATCGCGATCGCGATGCCCGCGACGAGGTAAGCGACGGAGATTCCCTGCGGCTGGACCGCGTTCGGCGTGTACTTCGACAGCTGCGGCTGTCCCACGTTCGCCGAGTGCTTCAATCTTAGGATCTCCTCTTTGAGCCGCAGATTCTCCTGCCTCAGCAGGCTCTCCTCCTCGCGCAATTGCTGTACCTGCAACAAGCCAGTTCAAAGGATACTTTAGTTTCGGTATTGTACTTAAAATAGACACATTCGAAAAGAAAATGAAACAAAACACAAATTAATTCTGTTTGAAAAAGCGGTTTTTTGGGTTTCGGAGGAGTTTTTTTTGGGGTGTCAAAACAAAAATTAAAGCACAAACATTTATATTCATGTCCCCCCCCCCCCAATGTTTTTTTAATTAATTATTTTTAATTTTCCAGAAGTGACAAAGAGAAGCTGAAAATTAGAACTCTAAAATGCGTTGAACAAAATGTCTCCCTCATGTTAGTGGACACTCTTCTGGGTTTTTGGGTTACATGAGAGCGTTTGGGGAAGGGGGGTCGTAATTATTTTTAATATTCAGGAAGTGGCAAAGAGAAGGTGAAGATTCGTACACTAAAATCCGTTTAACAAAATTTTTCCTTCACGTATAAGACACTTCACTGAGTTTTTTTGGGTTTTGAGTGCGCTTTTTTGGGGTTTCGTAAATATTTTTATTTTTCCCAGAAGTGAATTAAAGTGAAGGTAAAGATTCGAACACTAAAATGCGTTTAACAAAATTTTTCCTTCACATATAAGACACTTCACTGGGTTTTTTTGGGTTTTGAGTGTGCTTTTTTGGGGTTTCGTAAATATTTTTATTTTTCCCAGAAGTGAATTAAGGTGAAAGTAAAGATTTGAACACTAAAATGCGTTTAGCAAAATTTTTCCTTCACGTATAAGACACTTCACTGGGTTTTTTTTGGTTTTGAGTGCGCTTTTTTGGAGTTTCGTAAATATTTTTATTTTTCCCAGAAGTGAATTAAAGTGAAGGTGAAGATTCGAACACTAAAATGCGTTTAACAAAATTTTTCCTTCACGTACAAGACACTTTTACTGGGTTTTTGGGTTTTGTGCGCTTTATTGAGGTTTCGCAAATATTTTTATTTTCCCAGAAGTAAATTAAGGTGAAAGTGAAGATTCAAACACTAAAATGCGTTTAACAAAATTTTTCCTTCACGTACAAGACACTTTTACTGGGTTTTTGGGTTTTATGGGTGCGCTTTATTGAGGTTTCGCAAATAATTTTATTTTCCCAAAAGTAAATTAAGGTGAAAGTGAAGATTCAAACGCTAAAATGCGTTTATCCAAATGTTCCTTCACGTATAAGACACTTCACCGGGTTTTTGGGTTTTATGGGGGTGCTTTTTTGGGGTTTCGTAAATATTTTTATTTTCCGAGAAGTGAATTGAGGTAAAAGTGACGATTCGAACACTAAAATGCGTTTAACAAAATTTTGTCTTCACGTATAAGACACTTCACTGGGTTTTTTGGGCGCTTTTTTGGGGTTTCGTAAATATTTTTTATTTTTCCCAGAAATGAATTAAGGTGAAAGTGAAGATTCAAACACTAAAATGCGTTTATCCAAATTTTCCTTCACGTATAAGACACTTCACCGGGTTTTTGGGTTTTATGGGGGCGCTTTTTTGGGGTTTCGTAAATATTTTTATTTTCCAAGAAGTGAATTGAGGTAAAAGTGACGATTCGAACACTAAAATGCGTTTAACAAAATTTTTCCTTCACGTACAAGACACTTTACTGGGTTTTTGGATTTTATGGAGGCGCTTTTTTGGGGTTTCGTAAATATTTTTTATTTTCCCAGAAGTGAATTGAGGTAAAAGTGACGATTCGAACACTAAAATGCGTTTAACAACATTTTTTCTTCACGTATAAAACACTTCACTGAGTTTTTTGGGTTTTGAGGGCGCTTTTTTGGGGTGTTGTAAATATTTTTATTTTTCCCAGAAGTGAATTAAGGTGAAAGTGAGGATTCTTCAAACACTAAAATGCCTTTACCAAATTTATCCTTCACGTATTAGACACTTCACTGGATTTTTTGGGTGCACATTGTTTGGGATTTCGCAAATATTTTTATTTTTCCAGAAGTGAATTAACGTGATAATCAAGAGCACTAAAATGCTGTTTTTAACTACGGGTTTTTTTGGGGTTTCGTAATTATCCTTATTATTCCACATAAAAGCAAAGTTAAAAATAGGGCATCTACATAAATGCTTTTAACAACATTTTTCCTTCACGTACAAAACCTTTTTGGGTATTGTGGGTGTTTTTTAATTATCTTTATTAGTGAATTAAGATGCAAATGGCTACTTATGTGCTTTCAATAAAATTGTTTTTGTGTACAGTTCACCCATTTGAGTTGTTTTGGATTTTAGAACCGTGTTATCTTGGGTTTCATATATTAGTATCAGTGGGGTCTTGACTAAGTATCTTCTTGCCGCCTATAGGATAGTTTCTCATGATAATAAATTTGTTATCATGGAAGCTACTGTTAGATAAGAGTTAAATGTAACATGAAAAATCAACTATGACTTTGAAAACTTCTTTTAAATATAAAGTTACAGAGTTTGTCAAACCCAAGTGGGTTATCCACCCTGCAACAGTCTTCCTCGGAACGAAAGTGACATTTTACAAGTACTGCTTCCATTTTCTGCCGATGTATTACCTCGACTGCCGCCTCCTCCAACTCCAAATTCTCGTGAGCCGCCGGCACGAACGTCTGCTGAGTCGGTTTCGGACTGACCTTAGCCGGTTCCTCGGCGGCGGGCGCGTCGGCCTGATCCGGCGGCAGCTCAAACACGCACTTGAGCTTCGAGTCCATCATCTGCTCCGGATTGATGTCCTTCCACAACTGCTCGAGGTTCGCATCCGAGTCGGGCGCGTAAACCGTCTGCACCATGAACTTGTGCTTGTTTTTCTCGACCGGATCGAATACAAACGGCTGTAAACAGACTAAGCGCGGCACGCGGTTAGTATCCGCCCCGTATGCGTGTCGCTACTTACTGGCAATTTCCGCATTACTGCTCGGCTCGAGTATTCCCGAATTTGGTCTAACACAGTATTTCTTGGGGGCGGTAGTCTTTATTTTAAATAGAACTTTCCTATCCGATGGATTGGTTAATTTCATATAAGATGTCACTGGTACGCTAAAGGGGCCTGAAATGATAACGAGTTAATCAATGGATGGACTTTGGATTAACATTAAAATTCGCCAAGCGAAATTGGCTGACCGCAGGCTGGCAGATTGCTGGGAACTATTGGAAGGAAAAAGGGCTGATAACTTGAAATAGATTTGCGGGTTTGGGGGAAGTTATGTTCGGCCTCTCACCTCTAAATCTAAGCTCATTTTGCGGTTCGATCGTCAGCACCTGCTCGGGTTTTGCCATTATTTACAACTACGTCGTCCCAAACTGGCCGAAATTTAATTCAAATACGCGTATTTTTGCTTTTTTTCCCAATGACGGATTCACTTGTGTGCAGCTTTAACGTTTTCTGACAGGCACGCGCATGACAGTTTAAAGAACAAAGATGGCGATGACATAACACAAGTGCAGTGACATCATCGACCAATGATCACAGTTGCCGGTACTTACTACGTCGGCTGACGATAGATGGCGCTAAACAACCGACTGAGATCAATACTTTGGTATTAGTGTACAGTGTGAACCGAAAAATAGTGCTCAGCGCACCGTTTCACTAAAGCGTTTTATAAAGTTAGCCACGGAGTCATTACCAGCACTTACACTATAATTCCTTGAAAGGGTCCATGGGGGTGAAAGTATTCCCAGGAGGTCTGAGGGGTTTGAAGTAGCCCCCCCCCCCTCCTGACAGTTGTAGGGCTTTCTGGAGGGTATTCCATATTTTTTAATAAGAAACCTTGGCACCGAACGTTTAGTGTGTGAACGAAGGACTGGAGGGGGGGATATATCCCCCTCCTCCTTCCGTATACGAGTATCGTATGACAATGTTATTACAATGAAGATTGATTCTGTCTACTTGCTGGGAGGTATTCCGTACCTACCAGATATCCCGAATTACTTACATTGTTTTCTAAAACGTGTAGGGCCCTTAGCACCCCTTAGTACCCCAATTTTTGATAAGCGGTTTTAACGTGGAACGTTTCGTGAGTGAAAGGAGAACTGAGGGGTACGAATACCCCCAAGTGTACGAGTATCGTATGAAAAATTGTAGTGCAATGACGATTGATTCAGTCATTTCCCTGAGGGGTGCTCCACACCCCCCACATAACCGGTTCAGTATTCTCCCCTAAAGCGTTTGGGGCCTATAGCACTTCCAGAGTGCAATGAAAATGGATTCTGATGTTTTCTTGGGGGGGGGGGGTCTTCCATACTCCCAAACCCCCGGGTGTAAATATCTTCTCTAACACGGTTAGAACCCTTTTTACTTATTTCGTACCCTTACTATCACACCATCATTTTTTATAAGAGGCCATTTTGTTTGTGAGCGAAGGTAGCACCGTGGGTAGGGGGATCCAGGAGGTATAGCATATCCCCCCACGATAGGAATATCTCATGACAGTTGTAATGCAATGAAGATTGATGCTTCAATTTCGGGGAGAGGGGGGGGGGATTCCATACCCTCCGATTCAGTATTCTCCCCTAAAGCGTTTAGGAACCTTGCTCCAGTGCAATGAAAATTGATTCTCTCTTCTTCATGGAGGGGGGGGGGGGTATTCCGTACCTCCAAACCTCCCGGTTCTAAATACTTCCTTATCACGTTTAGGACCATTAGCATTTATACCATCATAAGAGGCCATTTTGTTTGTGGGTGAACGTAGAACCTGCGGGTCCAGGAGGCATGGAATATCCCCCAGTATACGAATATCTCATGACAGTTGCAAGGGAATTGATTCTGTCTACTTGCTATTGGGTAGTCCATACCCACCAAACACCCCGGATCTCGATTGGTTTCTAGAACGCGTAAGGCCCTTACCTTCATGTTTGATCAGAGGCCTTAGGGGTGACAGTTTTGTGGGCAAACGAAGCACTGGGCGATCGGAGAGGTATGGACCCCCCCCCCCCCCCCCCCCCGCTACCTATGACAATTGTAGTGCGGTGAAGATTGATATTCTGTCTACTTTCTGAGCGGTATTCATACCGGTTAACCCAACCGTACTACGTTTTTCCATAACAGCGATCAGCCTTCAAACTATTACTATTCCATAAACTCAGGTCCCACAGTACGCCCCCCCTCCCCCAAATGCGTTTGCGTTTCAGTTTCAGAATATAGTTCTTGTGAATGGACAGTCTAACATAGTACTGGGGGTTCCGAGGGGTCATTGGAAACAATGTTCATATAATGGGGAGGGGGGGGAGGAAGCATACATAACCGAATCCTCCCTTAATACTAGGCGTGGGGTACAAACCGACAAACCACACTGGTACTTTGTTTTCCACAAGGGAGCTTAGCCTTGAAAACATCCGAGTTTCGAGTGGACAATCAAATATACTACCGGGAGATTTGGAGGGTATAGAATAACCCCCCCTACCAGGTATACCTCCTTTTCTAATTGGCACATCGTGTATAAGGAGCTGAAACACTTCCTCGAACATTATAACATACTGATACCAAACTGGAAAAGATTTAAAACGAAATTTGGCTTCGAAATATTTTTGTGGGTGATGGGAAAAAACCTCCTCGACTATTATGTTCTCCTGGTAGGCAGACAAAATTTTAAATGAATTTTCTAATTGTCACTTCGTGTATTAGGAGCTGAAACACCTCCACGCACATTATAACCTCCTGATACCAAATTGGAAAATATTTAAAACGAAATTTGGCTACGAAATATTTTTGTGGGCGATGGGAAAAGATATCCACAACTATTATGTTCTCCTGGTAGCCAGACACAATTTTAAATGAATTTTCTAATTATTGTCACTTCGTGTATTAGGAGCTGAAACATCTCCTCCCACTTTATAACCTCCTGATACCAAATTGGAAAAGATTTAAAACGAAATTTGGTTTCGAAATATTTTTGTGGGTGATGGGAAAAGACCCTCTCGACGATTATGCTCTCCTGGTAGCCAGACAAAATTTTAAATGAATTTTCTGATTGACACTTCGTGTATTAGGAGCTGAAACATCTCCTCGCACATTATAGCCTCCTGATACCAAATTGGAAAAGATTTAAAACGAAATTTGGTTTCGAAATATTTTTGTGGGTGATGGGAAAAGACCCTCTCGACGATTATGTTCTCCTGGTAGCCAGACAAAATTTTAAATGAATTTTCTGATTGACACTTCGTGTATTAGGAGCTGAAACACCTCCTCGCACATTGTAGCCTCCTGATACCAAATTGGGAAAGATTTAAAACGAAATTTGGCTTCGAAATATTTTTGTGGGTGATAGGAAAAGACCTCCACAACTATTATGTTCTCCTGGTAGCCAGACAAAATTTTAAATGAATTTTCTGATTGGCACTTCGTGTATTAGGAGCTGAAACACCTCCTCGCGCATGATAACCTCCTGATATCAAATTGGAAAAGATTTAAAAACTAAATTTGGCTTCGAAACAATTTTGTGGGTGATAGGGAAAGACATCCACAACTATTATGTTCTCCTGATAGCCAGACAAAATTTTACAAAAATTTTCTGATTGGCACTTCGTGTATTAGGAGCTGAAACGTCTCCTCCCACTTTATAACCTTCTGATACCAAATTGGAAAAGATTTAAAACGAAATTTGGCTTCGAAATGTTTTTGTGGGTGATAGGAAAAGACCTCCACAACTATTATGTTCTCCTGGTAGCCAGACAAAATTTTACAAGAATTTTCTGATTGGCACTTCGTGTATTAGGAGCTGAAACACCTCCACGCACATTATAACCTCCTGATACCAAATTGGAAAATATTTAAAACGAAATTTGGCTTCGAAATATTTTTGTGGGTGATGGGAAAAGATCTCCTCGACTATTATGTTCTCCTGGTAGCCAGACAAAATTTTAAATAAATTTTCTAATTGTCACTTCGTGTATTAGGAGCTGAAACACCTCCTCGCACATTATAACCTCCTGATACCAAATTGGAAAATATTTAAAACGAAATTTGGCTACGAAATATTTTTGTGGGCGATGGGAAAAGATATCCACAACTATTATGTTCTCCTGGTAGCCAGACACAATTTTAAATGAATTTTCTAATTGTCACTTCGTGTATTAGGAGCTGAAACATCTCCTCCCACTTTATAACCTCCTGATACCAAATTGGAAAAGATTTAAAACGAAATTTGGCTTCGAAACATTTTTGTGGGTGATAGGAAAAGACCTCCACCACTATTATGTTCTCCTGGTAGCCAGACAAAATTTTAAATCAATTTTCTAATTGTCACTTCGTGTATTAGGAGCTGAAACACCTCCTCGCACATTATAACCTCCTGATACAAAATTGGAAAAGATTTAAAACGAAATTTGGTTTCGAAATATTTTTGTGGGTGATGGGAAAAGACCCCCTCGACGATTATGTTCTCCTGGTAGCCAGACAAAATTTTACAAGAATTTTCTGATTGGCACTTCGTGTATTAGGAGCTGAAACATCTCCTCCCACTTTATAACCTTCTGATACCAAATTGGAAGAGATTTAAAACGAAATTTGGCTTCGAAATGTTTTTGTGGGTGATGGGAAAATACCTCCTATGTTCTCCTGGTAGCCAGACAAAATTTTAAATGAATTTTCTAATTGTTACTTCGTGTATTAGGAGCTGAAACACCTCCTCGCAAATTATAACCTCCTGCTACCAAATTGGAAAATATTTAAAACGAAATTTGGCTTCGAAATATTTTTGTGGGCGATGGGGAAAGATATCCACAACTATTATGTTCTCCTGGTAGCCAGACAAAATTTTAAATAAATTTTCTAATTGTCACTTCGTGTATTAGGAGCTGAAACACCTCCTCGCACATTATAACCTCCTGATACCAAATTGGAAAAGATTTAAAACGAAATTTGGCTTCGAAATATTTTTGTGGGTGATGGGAAAAGACCTCCTCGACTATTATGTTCTCCTGGTAGCCAGACAAAATTTTAAAGAATTTTCTGATTGACACTTCGTGTATTAGGAGCTGAAACATCTCCTCGCACATTATAGCCTCCTGATACCAAATTGGAAAAGATTTAAAACGAAATTTGGTTTCGAAATATTTTTGTGGGTGATGGGAAAAGACCCTCTCGACGATTATGTTCTCCTGGTAGCCAGACAAAATTTTAAATGAATTTTCTGATTGACACTTCGTGTATTAGGAGCTGAAACACCTCCTCGCACATTGTAGCCTCCTGATACCAAATTGGGAAAGATTTAAAACGAAATTTGGCTTCGAAATATTTTTGTGGGTGATGGGAAAAGACCTCCTCGACTATTATGTTCTCCTGGTAGCCAGACAAAATTTTACAAGAATTTTCTGATTGGCACTTCGTGTATTAGGAGCTGAAACATCTCCTCCCACTTTATAACCTTCTGATACCAAATTGGAAGAGATTTAAAACGAAATTTGGCTTCGAAATGTTT